AAGAACTCTCAATATGACCTCCTGCCACCTTGGAACTGAACCCTGATCTTCCATATGGCTCCTAGCATCACAGAGCATGGTGCTCCCGTTGCATCACCACAACTGGGACAAAACATACTATTATGAACGTACAGTTGGAGTTTTGACAAATGTATATTCCCATTTAATGACCACAATTAAGGTGGGATTTTTCATCACCCCACAAAATTCACTCCGTGCTTCTCTATAGTTACTCTCTACCAGCCACAGCAACCCCCAACTAGCTTTTCTTTCTTTGATTCTCAATCATTTTGCCTTTTCCAGAATTATCTGTAAGTGGAACCCTACAAAAGACTTGTTCAGCTGCTTTTGTCACTCCACATAACAATTTCTAGGCTCATCCACATTGCTGCATGTTTTGGTAGCTCATTCCTTTTCCTTGCTGCCTCGTATTCCACTGTGTGGATATACCGCAGATGGTTTGTTCACTCACCTGTTGAGGGGCCCCTGGGTTGGTCTCAGTTTGGAGCTGTATGGAAGAGTATGTGGTCAGGTCTTTGTCAGACAGGGCTTCCATTTCTCTTGACTAGCTACTTGGGAGTGGATTGCTAGGTTGCAGGGTGGGCATATATTTGGCTTCAGGAGAAATCGCCAAGTCCTTTTCCAAAGTGGTCCCACTTTTTCCCTTACTTTTGTTTTTTTCTTTTTTTCTTTCTTTTTTTTTTTTTTTTTTTTTTGAGAGATTTTTGCTATAGGGCACGTGCACTCGCCAGAAAGACAGAGAGAGACAGAGAGACAGAAAGCGAGAGATCACCCTCTGGGGGAATGGCCACACCGCAATCCCCTCTCTATTCTCCTCACAGGATCTTGGGCACACATGGACATGCGCCCGGTGTAAGTTTAAGCCACTGGATCCGGGACTCAAACCATGGTCAGTTACATGGGAGTCCAGCGACATAGTCATTACACTAACTGCTGGTCCCCTGTTTTTTAAATTTTCTTTGAAGTTTATTTATTTCATGAGATTGAAAGACACACAGAGAGAGAGACAGAGACAGAAAGACAAATACACCAACAGGGTCTTACTTTAAGCTCCCTCCACACAGCCCTCCCAACCAGCCAGTATATGCAGGTTGACCAGGAGACCAAACCCGCAGTCTTCCATATGGATCCAGTATCATCTGACTAGCGTGTTACCACTATGCCAGCAAGTCAGGCCTCGTATATATTTTTAAATTTGCCATAGGGTGTGTGTGCTCACTGGAGACAGAGAGAAAGAGACAGGGAGAAGGAAACTAAAACACCGCCCTCCCCCAGAGGGGATAGCCATGCCACTGTCTTTTCTTCTCCGCTCTCCTCCCAGAATTTTGGGCATGCCTGCACATGCACCAGGCACAGTTTTGAAGCCACTGGGTCCAGAACTCGAGCCATGCAGTTGGTCATGAGGGTTCCAGCTGCCTTAATCTCCAGGCCACTACTGGTTCCCAGCTCATCTTTTTATTTCATTCATGACACACATCAGACTTTAAAAAGCATTTTTTCTTTATGCAGCACATGTGCACATGAGAGAGCGAGAGAGAGTTAAGAGCACCCTCCACAGGGTCTGGCTACATTGCCATCCTCTCCCTCCAGTCCTCCATCCTGTCAGATCTTGGGCATTCTTACATGAGTCTGTTGTGTTTCGGGCTGAACAGGCCAGGGATTTGAACCATGACTGCCATGTGGGGTCTGGCTTCTCTTGAGCTGTGTATTACCGCTATGCCATGGAGCCAGCCTAGGAGGCAGTGCTGGGGGAGAGGGTGTTGTGTTTATCACTCAGGTTAGGCTTGTCGGAGGCCACGTCCCCACCGGCCTTTATTGCCCCCCCACTAGAGAGAGGGGGTTTGGGATCTAGTGTTGGAATCTGCCTGGTTTTGCTGTGCCTCAGCTGTGCCTCTGAATTCCTCTGATTTAAGTAAAAGTGTTTCTCATGGGCTTTGGACAATCCCAGAGGAACTGAGTTGGACTCGTGGGGTAAGGTTGGACACAACTTTTTTTTTTTTAAAGGAATTATTTAATTTTCTTTATTTATTATTATTATTCAATTTGACTGGGGAGAAAGAGAGAGGGAGAGTGAGAAAGCAAGCTGCCAGGTCTGGGACTTTGGATCCGGGGTTAGTCATGTGGGAGTCCAGCACTCACCATGTCATCCGCTAGCCCCACAGTTTTTTGTTTGTTTGTTTGTTTTTTTAAGAATTATTTTATTTGACTTCACTTATCTATCTATCTATCTATCTATCTATTTGATTTTTTGTTTATGACCAGAGAGGGGCAGAGTGAGAGAGGAAGAGAAAGGGAGGGAGAGTGAGAAAGCAAGTCACCAGGTCCAAGACTCAAAGTGCAATTGGCCATGTGGGACTCCAGCACCCTTAACCACCACGCCAACTGCCAGTTCCCACACTTTTGTTTTTTAATGCCAGTGGGCACACACCTGGGAGAGAAAATACACCCGCAATGGGACCCGGTCATGCCACAATCTTTTTCTCTCAAATTCTCTATCCTGACAGGATCTTGGGCATGCACCCACATGCCTGGCATGATTTTCAAGTCACTAAGGCTGGGACTTGAACTATCGTGACAAATGGCCAATAGGTCCAGAACTCTAACCATCCAGTGGGATGCAGCTTCCTTTGTGTAGAATTAACCTCTGTGCTACAGAGCTGGCCCAGACATACACATTTGTAATACGCTCTCTGGATGAATCTAACATGCCCTAAAGCAGAGGTCCCCAGCACTCAGGTCATAGATCAGTACTGGTCCATGGCCTGTTAGGAACTGAGCCACACAGCAGGAGGTGAGTGGCAGTGAGCGAGCAGTTTCATCTGTATTTACAGCCGCTTCCCATTGCTCACTAATATTACTGCCTGGATTCCACCTCTGTCAGATCAGTGGCGGCAGTAGGTTCTCATTGGCGCACAAACTCTATTGTGAACAGTGCACGTGAGGGATCTATTAGGTCATCGGGAAAGTCATGATGTATTTTTCTGTTTTTCTATGCAAAAAAGCTTCATGAGTTTCCTGACAACCCAACAGGTGTGAGCTCCTTATGAGAATCTAATGCCTGATGATCTGAGGTGGAGCTGAGGCAGTGATGCTAGCACTGGGTAATGGCTGCAAATACTGCATTATGGTAAAGTGTATAATTGTTTCAGTATATATCACAATTAATAATTATATAAATAAGGTGCACAATAAATGTACTGCACTTGAATCATCCCGAAAACATCCCCCCACTCTAGTCTGTAGAAAAACTATCTTCCACGAAGCTGGTCCCTGGAACCAAAAAGGTTGGGGACCACTGAATGTGGGAATACAGATGAGAGGGAAAGACATTCCGGAAGAGAATGGCATGAGCGAAAGTCCCACGATAGGAGAGAACAGGTCATGGAAGCAGGAACCAGGAACCCAAGGCCTTGAATTTCAACCAAAGGGCTGAGTTTTTTCTCCCGGGGGCACTAAGGAGCCATGGAAGGTTTAAGTGGGGGAGTGAGTGGTGGGGCAGTGACTGTTAGGTTTGGGCTTCTGTAAGAGCTCTCTGGCTGTCACATGTACGAGTGGGTGGAGTAAATGCATGTAGATGCCCAGAAGGGAGATGCCCGAACTATGGCCAGATTGGGGGCGAATATAGGTGAGGGTGTGGATTCCCACCCCATCCGACTGGCTCTTTGTTGCCCTTCCATCTGGGTCTCTCTAGTCACTCCCTGCCCTGGATTGTGGCCTGAGAATAGTTCTGACTTCCTCACCAGTCACTCCTCCTTCCCGATGATAGGTCTGAGGCCTCTGAGGCAGGCAGGTGTGTGGGAGGGTGGGCAGCAGGGACAAGGGCGTGGTTTGTGGTAGCTGGGGGCGTGCCTCTGATCCTGCGTGTGCTGTGGGCTCTGCCAGAGTTTGGGGATCTGCTGGGGACTTCCGGGTGCAGCCAGGCTATGCCCCAAGCGTGTGGTAGTTTGCCTCCTCCCACGGGTTCCCTCCCCACAGGGCCCTGGTTAATTCCCAGCTTTCCCAGGGCAGGTTACTGCCCTGAGATACTATTACAATTTCCTACTTCAACAGGGCTGTTGTGAGGTTCAATGAATTCAAGACACAGTCGATGACGTAACCACCGCCATCTCTCCCCTCTGCTTCTGTGTAAGCCAGCGTTTCTTCCTGGCAGGGTGGGGTGTGGAAGGGAGATGTGTGTCTGTCTTCTGTGTCCCCCACCTGAGACTGTGAGCATGTCTAACTCACCATGTACCAACTATGCAACTTGGGGCAAGGTATAGACCTCTCTGTGCCTCCATTTCCTCATCTGCAAAGTGGGTTTCATAACAATAGTGCCTACTTCCTGGGGTGGAGATAAAGGTGAAATTGATTACTCTACCTCAAGAAGCAATGCGGGGCATGCAGACAGCCCTGGATTACGTAGGATTACATAAGCATCGGTGGTGGGGAAGAAGTGCTCACCCTCCTGAGCACTGCGAGTACTTGGAGCCCATGAGTCTCTGCATCTGGGGGCAGGAAGTGCCCGTGCAAGCATGCATGCTTATCTGGGATGTTATGGGACCAGGCCTAGGAGGGTGGCCTCTGTGTCCTCATCTGTAAAGTGGGAATAATGATAGCACCATTCACAGGGTAGTGTGGGGTGACAGGTACAGGTGCCCCCCACACCGGGCAGCACAAGCCACACGCACACACACACACACACACACACACACACTTGCTCTTCCCTTTCTTGTACCTATCTGTCCCAGTCATGGTCGCACTACCTCTTCCTCTGTCGGGAGGATGCAATCACCTTAGAAGCATTTATTTATTTATTTATTTATTTAGAAGAGGTTTTAAATATAGGGCGTGTGCGCTTGCCAGAAAGACAGAGACAGAAAGCGAGAAATCACCCCCCAGAGGGGATGACCACACCACAATCCCTTCTCCATTCTCCTCTTGAGATCTTGGGCATGCACGCACATGCGCCCAGCGTGAGTTTAAGCCACCAGGTCCGGGACTTGAACCATGGGCGACTACATGGGAGTCCAGCGACATAGCCATTACGCTAACTGCTGGTCCCACCTTAGAAGCATTTAGAATAGCACCAGGGAGCAGAATGGCCTCGCTGGAGTGGCTGCATCACGGACCTGGGAGCAACTCTACTCCTGTGCCGACCTGAGCCAGGTGTGGGAGGTGGCCCTGCCAAGAAACGGCCGTGATACCTGGCCCTACAGGTTCCTCTGTAGCTTGGCCTCTTGCTCCCCCATTGCCCCATCCCTCACCCCAAACTCCCCATGACTCTGAGGGTGGAGGCTTCAGCACATGCCACCTGCCCCAGCCCCAGGTGGGGTGAAGACACCCAGAAATCCTCTGGTGGGGGGCTTGCTGCTTCCCTCTCTGCTACTGTCTTCGTGTGTGTCTCCCCAGATACCCCATCTCTGTGGCTCCTCATTCTGGCTCTGAGTCTCTACTCATCCCACCATGGTTTCCAGGACAGAAAATGTCAGGGTCCCAAGGGTGTGTCCCAGGTGAGGATAGAGCTGGTGGTGACAGATGCAGAACCTCCCTCTCCACCCTCCCCACCCCACCTCCTTGAGAGTAAAGAGAGGGAGGAAGGGGGTCTTCATTAATGAACCTCTTAATCCTGCCACAACGCCTCTTAATGAGGTGGACGGGCCTCATTAGAGAGCAGGGAGCCCTGGCATTAGCTAGTTTGTCACACGCCTCTCCCAGGGCCAGCGCCTGGGTCCTCAGCTGGCCCTGGGGAAACTGGAGCAGGAAGTCTGGGAAACTTGGAAGGGCTGAACCTGGACTCCTGTGTCTGAGGGAGATGAAGGCTGGGGACGGGACTCCTGGGTCTGTGGGTCTGACGGAGGAGGGGCTGGGAATCAGGAGCCCCATGTGTGAGGGAGCGGGTGGGGGGTGGCTGGGGGCCTGGACCTCTGGGTCCTGGGGAGCAGGGGCTGGGGGCTGAACTCCCGAGTCTGAGGGAGGAGAGCCCTGAGCCCAGATCCTTCCCCCAGACCAACCCCTCTCTTAAATGCCAGCTGGAGCGCCCCGCCTCCTTCCACCCCCAGTTAACCCCGGGCACAACCGGGGACAGTCGCCCAGACCGAAGGATGGAGGAGGAGCGGGACAGACACGCGCTCGGTGGTGGCGGGAGGGAGGCCGTCGGGGCCACGAGCCCCCAGGAGCTGCCCCCCTCGCCGCCGTCACCACCACCACCCCCCTCGCCGCCGTCGCCGTCGCCCGCGGCACCGGCGACCCCGGAGCAGCCGCGC